AAGATTCTACTTTTTTTGTGCAATAAAAGTGACAAATCATACCCAGATCTTAGCAGAAATATTCAATCACACACAAGTAAATTGTTTTCATCGGCTAGTTACAGAGCATTGACGGGGTGAGGATATAGCGATTAGCTGCAATCCGCTTGCTAGGGGACCAGTCAATCGTTTGCGTGAGTATTTGTTAAAAAGATGACTCTGCCGTAAATGAAGTCTATTGTCTAGTTCTGTTCCTTAGTGCAATCGCATACAAAACCAACCTAAGTTCGGCATCTGAATCTTGGCATGGCGAATATTCTTGTATGTCATGTTTAGCGACAACCAAGATTTTATCAATTCTTTATTGGCTGACGTATCGACGATTTCGCCTTTATGCTTACAAAACTGCCGCGTTATTTGTCATGCGCAGATATTTTCAATCATTTCTTTGCTTGCTGGAACAGTCAATGAGATGCCCATTAAGCCTCCATCGATTCACATCAACTGTAAATTTTCATTACTCATAAGGAGACTGGAAATGCTTTCACAAACCTTATGATTACTTCTCCTTTGTAAAAGTAAGTATTTCCTCAAGCTTTGTGCATCAGTATACTCTTCTTCAAGCTAGAGCTCACTCGTGAGACATTTTGAGTTTCGATCTGCTTTTTAGAGCATTGTGATTACTTGAAGTATGAAATTTGCAAACGAATGTCATTGTTGTTTGTTGCCTCCAGATACCACCATTAAGATTTAGTATTAGCTTATCAAGAAGAAGATGTTGGCATACTGGTATCTTTGTGCTATTTCGTCAGCAGAATTCGTTGCTATTTTTGTAAAGTTTGATGTCTTCCTTTTCTAATAGCAGAAAATTTTTTGGAGTTTTGAGTCTTGGTTTGGGCATACGAAGCGGCAATGAAATTTTCTAACATAAAATCACGCCAGCTGGTTCGCTTCAATAACATGCACCTTTTTGAGCTGAAGCCTGCACGGGCATTGATTCGATGACTGGAGAGAATTTTGACACAATTCGGCCCAATGAAAAACGGGAGCCATTTCCAAAAATTGTCCATTGTGAAACTCTCAGAAGTCATTTCTTCAGCTGGTCTGAAAGTTGCTTTCCGCTAACTGCATGAAATGCATGGAACAGCTTTATAATGTTGAGAAGTCTGCTAAAAAATCTCAAACTTCCTATCAAAGTGTTTGCTCAACTGGACCTCTGGCATAGGAAAATGAGTGCTTTCACGAAAAAAGGGCAAAAGGGGTGAAGGTGAGAGCAGATAGAGAAAAAACAAGCTTTGCACTTGCGAAACCGGAATTGCTGTTTACCGTGAAGTTGGCAGCGAACATGATTGTTAGTCCTCCTGCGCGTCGTTTCGAACTCTTTTGCAGCTTTTATTCCTTACAATTAGTCATTTACTTTTAATTTTTTGCCCTTCAAAGTCTCGAAAGCGTCAAAAATGATCGTTATTCACTATTTTCATTGGTCAATTTTCTAAATGTGGTCATGATACGTTATAACCGTGCGCATTCTAAGTAACATCTTGAAAGAGTATTCAAAGAGTTTGTTTTAATCCTCCCACTCTTTATCAAATCAACAAAGGGCACATGAATAGTTGTGCACAACCTAACACCAATCAGACAGTTTGCAAATCCTGTTGTTTACCTCAGCATACCGGAAGCGTCAGCTCATCTTAGTTCTTCTTATCGAATTCTTTGATTTCGAATTCTAGTCATCGTTTTGACCTGCATTTTAGTTTTTTTAGCCCCCCCCCCTTCCGAGAATGGGTCGCGAAATTTTTGAAAGTTACTTAGATGGGTAAAAATGTGCGGGGGACTTATTTATACTTGTAAGTAATTAAAATAATTTTTGAAATTTTTTAGGAATTCAATTTAGTCTTAAAAAATTTTCTCGTTTTTTGTCCCGCACCCCCCCCCTCCGAGCCGAAATCCTGGGTACACCACTGCAGCAGAGATATGATATATTTCACTGTGTTCTCTATATAGTGTTTATGCAGTGTAAAGAAGTGATCTCGTTGAATTTATGAAATTAATTTGTCCTGCCACCTTTCCCGTTTGTGCTGTCGCCTAAAATTTTGTACTCTTTGTTTAACAGCTCAACTCACCCACTGGGATCAATGAGCTCGACAAGATATGCTCTCCTGCTTCTCAAAGATGAACTGTTTATAACCATATGGTTTAAAACTCCATGATTGATCCGTCATTCAAGATTACAAACATTCCACAGTTTTATTGATTTGCGATAATTCCAGATTGCTAGCTCTCTTTTTGTCGTAATTCTTAGAACTATATTTTCTGCAACAGATGTTGAATGCGAGCACTTTGAAAATTTGCTGGTGAACTTCGTTGGTCAGTGCTATGTACATGTACTACAATACATTATACTTTTCAAATAATCACTCGATCACTGATTTTGAGGTACCGCACAAGGTATGACCATTTCAAATGTAATCTTTTTGTTATCGATTACCCATGAACTTTTTTCCTTTAGTATCTTTATGAGATAGAATAGATCTCACTAAATTGAGTACTGTTTCAGCTAACCGGCGGCATGTCACAATTATTGAAATGTATATACAAAATAAAATATCTGCGTTTGCTGGATTCCGAATTTTTTTCTAATATGCTTGGCGCATGCGTGAGTCCAACTTGTGTGGGACTCTAGTTATATGTGCAGTCAAATGCGGATATTTAACAGCGGCTTTCAAGAACCTGCTGATTTACGAAAAGCTTTGCCAAATAAAAAGAGAGAATTTCGACTCCCAACTTCATTGCACAATAGCTGATACGAAAACGAATTTTTGCACTATTCTTCATTGTGATAGTTACTGGAAAAAGTTGCTGTCCCAAAGACATCAAAACCGCAAACATCACCATGAAGGAAGAAATGTTTTTAATGGATTTAGAACGTACACTTTTTTAAATAAATGTAGAAGTCTTTTACGCTATATGTGTTGTTAACAGTGTCTGCAAAAACGTGAAGCAAGCAAAACCGATAATAAACACTGTGCACCATCACTCAAAGTCTGTGTATTACGATAATTTACTCATGCAAATCGAAAAAAAAACTGTGCAGTTTTAGTTTGCAAACTATGCAGTCTGCCTGCTTGCTATTACTCTTGAATAAACACCTTTTCTTTCTTGTAGGCACAATACAAATCGCTAGCGTTAAATGCTCATTCATACTGAGGTTATGGCTGTTTTGTTCGCTATGCGGAAACAATAACTTCAAGATTTTGCAAGATTCGGCCGGAAATTTTTTTTATTTAACGTCTAGCAGTGGCCTTAATCCACACAAGCGTACAGAACTATGTTATGAAGAAAGTGTTAAAGGCAGCGTCCAGGCAGAACTGGACCTATGGAAATTTTACGTGGAAAGTACTTTTGGGGCCCTAACTAAGGCAGTGCCCAAGCGGCAGCGCAGGTAGTGCTCTAACGGCTGAGGTATTCCCCTCCAAACTGGACCCCGCGATCGTATTCGCATGGATTCATGGCAGTTTCGCGCCAGGATTCACGCTTTGCGCCATGAATCCATGCGAAATACGATCTCGGGGTCCAGTTCTAAGGGGAATATCTCAACCGTTAGAGCACTACCTGAGCTGCCCCTTGGGCAGTGGTTTATAGGGCCCCAAGATTACTATCTACGTGAGAGCCCCATGTGTCCAGACTTGCCTGGACGCTGCCTTCAAATGTGCTTTCAATTCTTGATACCATCTGGCCTAAGAAGCTTTGCGTTTCTGCACATGATCGTAGTGATCCCAGAAATCTCTTCTTGGAAAGAATTCATGGCTTTTTTCGACTCGTTGAAGACAGCGTCTAGGCAAATCTGGACATGTGGGGATCTTAGGTGAATAGTGATATTGGGGCCCTAACTAAGCCATTGCCCAAGCAGCTCGGGGGAAGACGGTCAAGAGGCGCGATTTCTCTGGCTGTCGCCAACTCAAAACTCAAGTTTAGGGCTACGCCCTCAAAAGGCACCAGATAAAGTACATTGGCTTACTAGTCATCTAAATTTACCATTTGCTGAGTTTGAAGGCCTTCGTTGGAAATCCGACCAAAATAACAAATTTGCTATTAATTGCATTTTCATGAAATTTTGACCTTCAACACTTTCATTTTGAATCCTTTTGGAAATAGTAAGACTGCACAACTCGTGCAACCATCTAGTATATCTCCCTTGAACTCTAAAATACTCCCAAGACCTTATAAAACACTAAATATGTGCTATTTGCTGTCCAGCTGGCAAAGATCGCGCCTCTTGGCATACACCCCATCTCGGGTAGTGCTCTAACGGGTGTGATATTCCCCTCGAACTGGACCCGGGATCGTATATCGCATGGATTCATGGCACAACCTATCGGTTTTGCGTGGGTCCTGAAGACTGACGGGTTGCGTCATGGATCTATGCGAATACAATCCTGGGGTCCAGTTGGAGGCGTATATCTCAGCCGTTAGTGAGTCACCTGCGCTGCCGCTTGGGCAGTGCCTTAGTTAAGGCCCCAAAATTACTTTCCACGTAAACCCATAGGTCCAGATTTGCCTGGACGCTGCCTTTAAGGGGGAAAGGTCACCGAGGTGGAAAAAGGAGGTGCAATCGCCATTGTTGCGAATCAAGATAAGATAGGAAGTTCTAGTTTTTTATCTTCTGCTGACCATTGAAAAAAAAGGATACTCCCGTTTCTTGTCTAGGAAATGGATTTTGTCCATATGCAGCTGGCAATAAATTGAAACCTTTAGAGAAAATTGTTTCCATACTTTCATCGCTACAAATTTTCAAAGTACCTTTCTCGGAGCCTATTTCTCCTTTCCTTACCGCGTTGCAGCCACTGAAAAACTTCCCTCAAGCTCACCTTTCATCAACATTGCAAGAGAAGAATTATTAATATTTTTTATTGATTATATTTGAATTCTGTGCCTAAGCTTGTGAACACAGTTGTGGGTACTCCTCGTACTGCTTAGAAAAACTAATACATCTAGTTCACGGACTTCAATTTTAACTTCAGGATCACTCGCAGCACCTCGTACACGGATGGAAACATGAATGATGGGAAGTACACCAGCATACCCTTGTTCGACTTTTCCGATGAACAGCTCAAGGGTAAATTTTAATGAAATTGGTTTCTCTGATTGAATTTATGTTGCATATTACCAATATGGACGTACGTTTTTTTAATGTTCCAGTCCAGTCGCTCAAAATTTTCGAAGTAGATAAACACCACGAACTCTCCTCATTCAATAATCCGTGTCCTATAGCACAAAAAGAGGATCGCTGAACAAATACAGAGCACTGCACTCATCTAGTAACGTATAATATTCACTTTACATCATTGAATGACTGCCGTTTACGGCCTTAGTGAGACCCTTTCAAGGATTCTCGATGAATGTCTGATTTTTCTTAGCGTAAACTACAACTGTGCTTTTGATCAATGTTCCTTCAGCATCTCCATATCCCGAAAAAATCTCTATTGCTGAGTCCGAGAAGGAAGACCCGCTGTATGCAAATTATAAGTCTATATTCCATCAGGTACTTGAACTAATTTATCTCGCTGTGTGAATATGCTAATTTTTTTAGAACGCGCGAGATGGGGACGTGAAAGCGATCGAGGAGTTGCTGAACAAGTGCCCGAAGCTTGTCGACGCATACGACTGTGATGGAGTGAGTGATTTGTGAGAAAACTCGCGCTTAATGCGGTAGGCTCGCAAGAACCTTAGGAGAATTGTTTTGAATTGGTTCAAACTAAATTTTATTAGGTTGGAAAGAGAATCTCGCTTTTTATTTCCTCGTCATGGCGTCCCAATAAGGCGAATTCCAAAACATGTGTAGTATACCATTTGATAGAGCAAAGCAAGCTCTACAAAATGGACTGCATTTGCATCTTATATCTATGTGAAGTTCGAAGATAGAATATGAAAATTTTCAAATGACCAAAAAATCGAAAAGAAATCGTCTTTTTGTCCAGAATTTCTGCCATCACCCAACTTGCTCACGATCATACATTCTTCGTCAAATATTCGTATGCGCAGTTGCTACTTTTTCTTGGACAGACATCAAAAATTGGAGATTTTCATGCTTCTGCCAAAGTGATGCTGAGCTTCTTCCGCGTAAAATTCAATACTGCCTGGCTTGGAAAGTACAACTTTAGATTTCCAGCCTTCTACAAGAGCTAGTTTCCGAGGAATATCGGATTTGGCTTTTCTCTGGTTTGCGAAGGCTCAATATTTTTCGATAGTCAACATTTGTAAAAGTACGAAAACTACGGTTGCATTTCCCAAGCCAAGTAGTTCTATACTTATGCGGAAACACCCAGCATCAGTAGACATAAATTTATAGATTTTTCGATGTGAAGTGAAAAAAAATTACATCAACTGCGCTTAAATGTATGATTAAGGATGTATGTCCTTGAGAAGTTGCGGATTCGAAGGATTTTCGGTCATTTGAGAGTTTTCACATTCTGTCTTCGAACTTCGTATAGATTTAACTTGGTGCAAAAGTACTAACGCTATTTTGTAAGCTGCTTTGCTCCATCGAATACTCTACCATACAAGTGTTTCTGGGATTTGCCTTGTTGCGGAGCCATGACGAGAAAATAAAAAGCTAAATTTTCTTTCTTCCTAACATTTTTATTATATTGTCTATTTTTCTCAGCTTGACATAATTTTCATTTTCATTCCCTTGCATTGTGTTAAGGATTATGCTACTATTCGGTAGAGCAAAACGAGCTGCAAAAGAAAGCTGAATCTTCGCAAAGGTTTGATCTACGTGGCGTTTCAAGTCAAAATCTAAAATTCTGAAAATATCTTAAAAATTGGATCCTTGTCCCGATGAAAGTTGCGGAGATTCAACTCACTCGCGCTAAATGCACATTCGACGTTATATTAGGTCATTCCGAAAGTAATTTCGCTTTCTTTAAACGGACGCCACATGTGATGGAACAAACTTTTAAGGTGATCTTGGAAGCATTCGATGCAGCATTTCGTCTTCTTTTTAACGGTCATGAAAATGTTGCAATACAATCAATGATCTTTCAAAAAATAACCAAAATCTGCGACCTATGCTTTTTGAGATGGTCAAGTTTCACAATTTTTCGAAACTTTCATATCAATCCTCAGAAGGAGTTCAAATAACGACTAGATAGAGCAAACCTTATAGGATACAGCACAACTTTTTTTCTCTTTTTCGTGGGTCGCCGTAATCTTTTGAAAGATTTTTTACCAAAATCATCGGATTTTGGCAAGCCCATGTCAGTCACAATCGCATCAAACATCAGTAATTACTCGGAATTTGAAGCTTCCAAGGTGATATATGACTTAATGTTGATTTTATAAAGCAAATGAGAGCTTACGGATTCGAAATACTTAACTTCGAGTTTTTCGGATATAGCCTTGGGCGCGTCCAAAAACATGAGTTATGACGATTTTATCATCAAATACTTAACAAATCGGAAACAAAAAGCACCTATTAAAAAGAGGAGAGAACGCTGCATCAAACAGCACCCGAGCTGCTCTCTCATTGATGTTCTACGAGATTTGAGTTGACCAAGTATGAAAATTGGTAGCATCAGTTTAAATTTTATTAAAAAATTTTGAGGAGGTAGGTGAAGGTGAAAAAATTGATTTGTTTCCTGTATGGTTTGCTCTATCTAATCGTTACTTGAAGTCCTTCTAAGGTTTGATATGAAGGTTTCGAGAAATTGTGAAACTTGACCATTTCAAAAAGCATGGGACGTAGGTTTTGAATATTTTCCGAAAGCTCAATGACTGAGCTGCGACGATTTCACTACTGTTAAAAAGAGGATGGAATGCTGCATCGAATGCTACCAAGATTCCTTAGAAAACACTTTTCCTTCAGATGTGGCGCCCCTTTGAAAAGAGCGAAATTACTTTTGGAATGACCTAATATATCCATTTGCTGTATTATTTTTTGGCTAGAATTTCAAAGAAGAAAGTTAGTATGTTTGCCAAAACATTGCTGAGTTGTTCCCACATAAGTAATTCTATGCTACAAATACATATTAGCCGTAGGTCAAAGTCAAAGGCCCGAATTTAAAAAGGACTTGATTTCGTGCATTTTCAGAATATTTGATTTTGACTTCAGACTCCTCCTGGAGACGAACATCGTAATGTTGAGAAGCTACTTGTCCTGTGAAGCGTACATCGCTCTAATTTAGCATAATCTCTGACTAAAAATGAAATTCTTTGAATCGAAAGTTATTCGACTAATTAACGGTTGTGTTAGCGCAGCTTGCACGACGCTAGTTGTGGAATGATTCATCGAGAACATTTGTAGTGCAGTTGTAAGGGTTGTGGACTAAACAAAGAATTCATCATAGGTTTGTGATGATTTCTTTAATGCACGACGACACGTCTCTGAACTCCCTGTTTTGATGGCAGGAATGTTGTGTAAGGCTTTTGAGTAAGAATAAGATCATTTTTTTCATTGCAGGTAGATATGGGGAAATTGTTTCGAAAATGCTTGGAAAATGTTTTTCTCTGTTCATATCTGTTACCATATTGAATATGCTTTGTTATGCACTCTCAAGTTTAGTTCAAAAAGAAGTCAGCTTATCGAGAAATATTATTTTCATTGCTGAAATGACCAACACCATTATCTCTTTTATCGGAAAAGTAAGTTTTAAAACCCTAACAATAGCTAAAAACAGATTTCACTGCGACGAGATTTCAAAACAAGCATTATAGGCGAATTTTGTTTCAAGCAAACTAACTCGTTTTGCAGATATGCGGTCTCAGATTTCAGGAAAATCATACTGCACTTATAAATTTTCGAACCCGCTTTGAATATCAAAATTCTTTTATTTTGCTTTCAAAAACTGCTATCCTCAATATAAATCGATCTGTAACTCAATCGAAATCGCGTGCGAACTAGTCGTAAGATGTGAGGTCACTCAAACAATCATGCCTAAGGTGTTCTGGATTGATTTCACACTTCAAAGTTGGATATCCAGGAGTCACTCGGTCATTCATAGAGAAATCAGCAAAAAAAATCAAAACAGATTCTGTAAATAGTCAAGCTTTACCCCAGCTTGCAACAATATCTCACTATCAAAAGTTATTTTTACTTGACGGTATCGTCCGAGAAACTCGTCCGCCGAAGTAGGGCGGAGCTTCGAGTGAACACGTTATTGCCAGTTCATGACCCCGCGCGCCACTGGTACCAGCTATCGTTTATCTTGACATATACCCGGCACTCCCCCCCCCCACCCTCGGCCCATTCCAATAATGCCCCCCCCCCCCATCCGTGCGTGCCCATCCAATCACCGTTTCCAGGAACCAGCCTGCATTCTCCGAGACAGGGATTGTCGGGATTTTCGCGGATGGATACTTTATATAAGCTCTTGCAAGACGAAGGCGGTTGGTTCGAGGTGCGACGTGGCAGTGACGCGGCTGTGACGCTGCTGTGACGCAGCCATGTCGCAGCCGCGTTGCACATCAAACCGACCGCCTTCGTCTTGCAGGAGCTTATATTTTGAATCGGGAATATGAGAAGGCCAGAACATGGAAGTCGAGAATCTGGGTGGTCGTGCCTTTAACACGTTGACGACGAGCTGTTTTTTTTTTTGCCTCTGCATGTATGTATGCATGCCTTACGCGCGAGATACGAAATGCAAGTGTGCGGAACAGCTCCGCCCCTTTCAGAAAAGCCCCGCCCACTTTTTATACCGGATTTTGCACAAAAATCACGATTCCGTGCAAATTCCGGCATTTTTTGAAAACTGGGCGGGGCTTGCACTGAGAGGTGGAGTTCATAAGGGGGGAGGGGTTAAATTGAGGTATTTGGAATTCCCCGTCATACGAACTTTTCTATTCGAATAGGGAAAAAGTTTTATGTAGCGGAAAACGGAGTGGGCGGAGTTTGCCAAAAAGGGGCGGGGCCAACCTCAAGTACTTTTAAGCCTAATTGATTATGTGAACACGGATTGGAACCATTGTGCATAATACTGATATTCAGGATGTCGCACACCATTGCTTGACACGGTCGTTAACGTGTTAAAGGCAGCGTCCCACCAGACTGGGGTTACCTGGCTCTCGTAATGATGTAATAGTAGACCCCCTACCTAAGCGATGACTGAAGTTCGGAGCGAAAAAGGGGGTCTACAAAGCCTGAAATTTGCTCCGAAAGTGGGCCGAATTTACGGTAGGCTCGGGCGAGTGCGAGGTGCATGCGCAGAGCCGCTGCGGGTCCCTGCGCTCATGATGTGTGCGCTATACGCACTCTGGCCCTGCAAATCGATATTGCCGAGTGGGCGGCGTTCGGCCCTACCGTAAGATTTGGCCCACTTTCGGAGCAAATTTCAGACTTGGTAGACCCCCTTTTTCGCTCCGAACTTCAGTCATCGCTTAGATAGGGGGTCTACTATCACATCATTACGTTAGCCAGATATCCCCAGTCTGATGGGACACTGCCTTTAAGGAGTATGTGATAAAGGGTATATGCCCTTCCGCATCGCTCCGTCCTAGCGCTAATTACTCTGCCCCAGCTAATTATTCCGTCTCTCTTCTGTAGCAAAGTTTTCAAATATTTCGATTTCGAAGCAAGCAGTGCCCATTTCCGAACAATGATAGAGATAGCATTTACGAGATAGGAATTCGAGAAGCTTGAGTTTTTTTCAGTCGCTATTTCCTTATTTCCCTTCCTTCCGTCACCATAAATTTGTACGTGTCACTGAAAATTCTACTTGTGATAACATGTAACTTTCGTGAGTTTCATGCAAAACTCAATTCTCCCTCGATACTCATTTTTGGGAACGTGCTTCTGCATAACTCGTTCATTTCAGAGCGCCTGCGTCTCTAATGACAGCTTAGCTTTCTCTCAGTAGCGGCAACCAATCGGAGGCCCACAGTAATTAGACTGCTAAGGCTAGCGGTGCAGAAGGGTTGTCTCCCACTTCTCCAAAAATATTCGAAAGTTGTTATTTCTACCTTATTGCACAGATGTGCTCAATCATTATCAACGCCTGTGATCAAGCTAGTACTTTCTTATTCTGTGAAAAAAAAAACTTGGTTTTCGACAAACATCCTTGAGCAAGAATTTAGGCATGTTAGTCGTGTAAACGCTTTTCTGTACAAGAGAGATGTTGTGGAGGTAGATGTTGAGCGTGGTATCCACAACACTTCCTTTTTTCTCCTAAAACGATATCCAAACCATTTGCCACATTCGCGCCGGACATTGTTTGAGTCTACTGCCAAAAGATTGCGTAGAACCGCTAGTTCCAAATATTAGGTCGTCCCGAAAGTATTTTCGCTTTTTTCAAACGGTTGCCACAATCGATGGAACAAATCTTTCTAAGAGATCTTGGTAGCGTTCGATGCAGAATTTCATTCTCTTTCTAACGGTTATAAAACTGTTGCAAAACATTCAATGAGCTTTCAGAAAATAACCAAAGTCTACGACCTATGCTTTTTGAGATGGTCATGTTTCACGATTTTTTAAAACTTTCATATCAATCCTCAGAAGGAGTTCAAGTAACGATTCGATAGAGTAAACCTCATAGAATACAGTTCTATTTTTTTCTCTTTCTCGTAGCTCGTCGTAATTTTTTAAAAGATTTTTTAACAAAGCCATCGGATTTTGGCAGTCCCACCTCAGCCACAATCGCATCAAACATCAGTAGTTACTCGGAATTTCAAGCTTTCAAGATGATATATGACTTAATATTGAATTTATAAAGCAAATGAGAGTTCACAGATTCGAAATATCAAATTTCGAGTTTTCCGGGTACAGCCTGGGGCTCCTTAAAAAAATGAATTGTGATGATTTTATCCCCGAAAACTAAACGAATTGGAAACAAAAAACACCCATTAGAAAGGGGAGAAAATGTTGCATCAAACAGCACCCGAGCTGCTCTTCCTTTGATGTTCTACAAGGATTTAGCTGTCCAACTATGGAAATCGGTATCATTAGTTAAAATTCCATTAAAAATGTGTGACAGGCTATGGAAAAGAGAAAAAAGTTGCACTGTATTCTATGAGATTTACTCTATCGAATCGTTACTTGAACTCCTTCTGAGATTCGATATGGAAGTTTTAAAAAATCGTGAAACTTGGCCATCTCAAAAAGCATGGGTCGCAGACTTTGGTTATTTTCTGAAAGCTCATTGAATGTTTTGCAACATTTTTATAACCGTTAGAAAGAGAATGAAATTCTGCATCGAACTCTACCAAGATCTCTTAGAAAGATTTGTTCCTCGATTGTGGCAACCGTTTGAAAAAAGCGAAAATACTTTTGGGACAACCTAATATTATAATTTGTAGAAATGCGATTAATCTAAGCATTATCGTGCAAGCTTTGAGTTCCCTCGAAAGTGCAAATTAAATAAAAAACCTCCAAAAGTATTACTTGCCACTAAAAATACCCTTATCGCCGCAATTTATCCTGTGATTCGAGACCATAAAGGTTGATGTAGTCTTTATTCAAAAGAGCGTAACATCTTCTTATTCGCTAGACAATGTTTGGTGAAAAGCACGTTAATAAGATTTTCCTCATTGAATGGCATCTTTGCAAATTTCTCAATTTTGCATTTCCATACGAGATTGAACAAGCCGTAGCGGTGCATGAACTACTGCTATACAAAAGTTTTTTCAGATTTTCTAAGGGTATCGAAGAGCCTTCCGAAATTTTCTAATACCGAAGTGAAAATCGCAAAATTTGGAGCGCCATTTTTAAGCTTTACTGTTGACGCCTAGCTCACAAAAAATTACGTTTGAACTTAACATGGAGCGCAGTTTTTCCAGTACTCCCTAGAAAGATGATGGTGATCTTAATTCAAAATGTTATCCTAGTTTGTGCGAATTAGCAAGAGCTTCCACTTCAACCTAATGACCACTTAAAAGTCTAAGAATGATTTGGACAACTTTGTTTTCTACTCTTGTGTTTTATATAAAAAAAAGAAAAATTCTCTCACTTACTCGGCGGAACTACCACAATCCTGGTCTAAACATAATTTCTAAAAGTATCTCAGTGAAAGTTGAAGAGTTAGAGCATTCTAGATGACTTCCCTCCATTATGCATCCAAATATGGGCACCCAAAAGTCGTGGAACTGTTGTTGAAACGAGGAGCAAACGTCAACGTTACAGCCGATGAATTCAGGGGTTTTGGGTATGCACCTCTGCATATGGTGGCCAAGTACGGTCGCTTAGCACGAAAGCCGAACAGCAAGAGAAAAGGTACTTGTAAGTTGAAACAGTATGTCAGTATAACTAGACGTTACAGATAGAAAAGTGTCAAGAGTACTTGATTCGTCTGTGCGACAATACCATTCTTTGCCAGAATCAGATGATATTCCCGACGACATCGACTCCTCTACTGCCATCATCAATCTTCTGGTAAAATATGGAGCGTACGTGCGGGCCAGCGTTGAATTGGCTTATTTGAAGGGATTTCTGATTTTAGAGACGTCGACATCACTGACACATCTGAGTTGACCCCAATGCATCATGCTGCTCAAAAGAATAACGAAATGGGAGCACGTGCGCTCATTAAGAATAATGCTGAAATCAACGTATGTTTACACTAATTTAGGAAAACTATAATCTGAAGGTGCTAACATTGTTAAGAAGAGAAAACTGGACGCTTTATTGTATTTACAGAGGTATGCTCCAAATCAATTTCAGCGTACGGTAAGTAAATGGAGTGAAGAAAAAAGTTGGGAAAATTTGGAGGTAAAGTGGCAGTTTTTGTAATAAAGGCCATGGTAAGGTGCATTTGCATGACCGTCACAATTGTTTTAAGACTGATGCGTTTTATGTTCTGTCAGCCCAGATGGCAGCATAGGACTTTACAAACTCTGCTTCCAAATAGCATAACTTCTTCAGTGTAAAAAAATTTGCGTCTTTGACCTATAAAACTAAATTGCTGAACATTATCTTGGTACTTATTAAATTGTGATGTTCCATCTACGCTGTACATAAATGCACAGCGATAAGAAAAACTGATAGTCGATGTGATGGTAAGGATATTAGTAATCTGCACGCATAGCAGGTAGTAGCCGCGACATGTGATGACTGAGTTTAAATGGAATATAAACCGTTAATTACGCATTCAAAATGATCCACGCGTCTTCCCACATTTATTGTGAAAATGCTTTCGCTCAATACGCTAATCTCAAATTTGACATTGAACTGTATAATTAATCATCGTGCAGTTCGTACCAATGTTTTCTAATGACAAAACAAACTTTCTTTTGTTTTTCTTTCAAGAGAACTTTCAAGAGCCATCACTGATTTGCTCGGACAAAAATCTGGGTTAAGCCATCTTCAAAGAAAGGCATGTAGAGGACGACGAACACTCAAGTCTATATATACTTTTGGGAGACCCTATTTATATGTGTTGCAAATGACACTCAAATGACATACAACTCTTGGCTTTATTCAATGTCCCACCTTCCCTTAAGGGCAACAGTATATTACGCTGATCGGTCTTTTTTTATGAAAGCAAAATGAGCAGGGTATTGATCACCAGAGTCGAGAAGGAGTTTGACTGGACTGGTGGATAAGGGAATTTGGTATCATCATTAAAAAGGCAGTTTGAAGCACACGATGGGGACGGCAGAGTTTATTGGTCTGTATGATCTAAGTACACGCAAGAGAAACTGCACGATAAATTTTGGAAGCTTCCTCAGTAAACACAAAAATATTGGATTGGAAACTAAGTTTTGCAACCGGTCTCACAACTTCCCTCTCACTCAACACGGTGCACTAAAATTTTGCCACTGCGTTGGTTATTGTGTAACCTACAAGCGCAGCTGCTGTCCTAAAATTCTGACGTCGCAGTGAGGGTTACGTTAGGTGCATGGTATGAAGGGGTAAAATCCAAAGTTCGAAGGATTTGGCTGAAACTTGGCATAGGGGTGTTACCCGACATGCTGATTACGAAAACGATAGTGAAATTGCCTGACAAGGGCTTTTTTATAGAATTACTGTAGGTGTACGATATGGGGTCTCACTCTTAACAAGGAAAAGGCGTTGATTCAACAGATGGATGTGATATTCGCGTTTGGCAGGTCAAATAACCTTACTATGGAAGTCTCGGCGGAATTTGAGCTTCGGACTCTTTAGTCATTGACGGTCGTCCCCAGCAGCTCTTGCGTACATCGACTCGTTCGACTTTATGAGGACGCCAAACGACATGCCCCTAAATTTTGTTTCTTTCTTACTAGGCCAAAGGAGTCAACCTCCAGCAATAATTTGTAGACGAATCCGGATTACTGCGCATGGTCTAGGCTGCCAAAGGCTTCATTTGGCTTGAAACCCCAAAAATTCTCAAATTTCGCTAGTTTTCGAAAAATGCCTGAAACTTTTCTATTTCGTGTTCAAAATTTAGACAATATGTGCTTTCTCGTAGCTCACTTTGCCTTCTACATAATTTCAAAGTTTGAGTGCATCATATCCAAAGAGAGTGAAGCTATGAAAGCAGTTGCAAAACTTAATTTCCAGCCTAATAAATGCTTCCGGCCAGTCATTATGTGAGCAGCGGCTCGCTTATATAGACAAATTCTACCGTGTTCAAACAGCGTTGTTCATTCACCATGCTGCGGTCAATGTGTCTGCCGTCCGCTACTTTCGTGCGGACTTGCCATTGATATGCGTTAGGCCTAAGGCATACCTCGCGCGATTCTGGTCGCTACGCGATTTGGCACAACAGCGACTCTTCGTAATTCGTCGTTAATGCGCTGCCTTTGGTCAGAACTTGCTCTGTTTGCAACAACTTACACAAGCTACCCAAATATGTGTCCGAGAAGTGCGCATGGTAAATTTATAGAAATCTGGCAAATCGCCAAGTCGCGTGAAAGTGACGATTTGCTGCAAACATTCCGTTTCTTCTCAAGGGACTGAGGCCCAATTTGGAGTTGTGCGAGATTGTGCTGAAGAACATGGATGCTCTCTGTTCAACTTATTCGTATGCTGCTGAAAGTATCAGAAAGCATATCTTTATTGTATACAAACAATTGGCGAGCACCCGTCGAATACCCACGGGCAACGCCACGTGCAGCCCAAGGCGCGCCGATAAGTACGCGATAAGCGCCCGACAACGTCCGCGGTTGACCCGGGTAGCACCCGATCAATGCGCATACGCACCCACGTGTGGCCCAATACGCCCTCGGTACAGCAATAAAGTCCTTTATTTCATTCCTAAATTTCGCAGGATTTTTGAATCGCCTCCATTCCCCCAGCCAAAAAATGTGGTGCGACGTCTGGACCACCGTAGCAGAATTTTCAGCACCTATCTGACTCTAAGATCAAGGTGCTCCAACACAAATACTCGAAACCAGAATGACTCCACTCGAGTTCTGAACAATGCCGCAAACGTTTAGGGTAGCCCCATGGCCGCGACGTACATCACGCGAGTAGCGTTCCTTTCAGGGTCTAGGGCACGCCAGAGTGCTTCTATCGGGCCGTCGCTCGAGGGCTGGAACCTGCCCGGTAACCAAATATGCAGTGCGTCCAGTAAGGAACGGGACTCGCCCCAATGTTTTTTTTCTTCGGCCGCGGGTGTTCTGAAAATTCAGTCAAGGTCCGCGGCCCTTCCCTAGCGGTACATTGGGCCGCGGGTCGCCAAGCAAATAAATCTAGGGCCGCGGATGGTCAGTCCAAGAATGCGGCGCTCGCGCACTGCCAAAAGGCATTGTTGAGTGCCGTGGGTGCTCGCAATAATTGTCTGAGTAGAGGAGTATGATAAGACGCTTCGCTTTGCTCACGAAAACATGTCCATTTTGCGCATACGCAATCCACCCAAGTAGAGCAGTTAGAGGCTCAATGCGTCACAATTCCCAAACGAAAATGAGTGAAAGCGACAATCGACGCAATTAAAAGTCTCTTGGTGGAAACTTTAGAACATTGATTATAGTACATGTCGATGGATAATTTTCTTGTAGCAACTGCTAGGGTATTCTAACACCTCAGGACAAAATACAAAATATGAAAACGACTTTTTCTTCTGTTTCCATTAACAAACAAAATAACGGGCTAACGAAGATGAGGGTTAGTATGCGAGAGAACATACATAGAGTTACATAGAGTAAAGGAACGTAAGAATGATTCGGGAGGAGCTTATAATGGCAGAAGTGGGGAGAAGTTGGAAGAAGTTGTGAAAAGCGTGCACAACAACCATCTTGCTGAGATTAGTGTTTGCAGTATCTGACAGGAACTTAGAAATTTTTTTGGAATATGGCAGAATTTTTCGGAACATCAGAATTTGCTACTGTTTCTTTGGTTACACCTTGCATTTTTGCTCTCAGCTAAAAGCGCGAAAAAATAGCGTTAAAAAAGAAGGAAATTTGCGGAAGAAGAAGAAGCGCAAAAACAGCAGAAGTAGCCGATTTCATAAAAGAGTCAATGATTTAGGATGAGTTAGAGCATCACTGAAAAAATTGTATTTCAGAAGACAGATAAGAATGGCGTCTCTCCGCTGATGTTAGCTTGCATCCACGGTTCTGCTGCGCTCGTTCATCTACTGCTCTCTGGAGGAGCAGATTGCACACGTATGGATAATCGCGACAATACCGTATATCATGCGGCGGCATTCAGCGGCAAGAACGACACTCTCCAGCTCTTGATCCGCTTTGGTATTTATGGAGAAATGTGTCATTTGTGTGAAGTAAATTATGCGTTTTATGAGGAGAAGACCTTCAAGGAATGTTGTATAGAGCAAATAAGGACGGTAAGACTCCGCTTCTCTTGGCCGTGGATCGAAACCATTCAAGTACTGTGGCCATCATCCTTCCTCTGATGCCTAAAGATCGCCCAGATATAGACGAGTCTGCATCTGTCCTTTTACTCACTATTCACTATCCTGTAATTTGCTTTTTAGAATTCACAAGTGGATGTTGCACACTGCCGCCAGTAAAGGTTATCGCGATGTATGCAAAACGCTGATTGAGGTAGACTGTTCCTACTGCTACAGATTTCAGGCAAAAAACATAATTTTCTAATTCTTCGCGACTTCAGAACGGATACGACCCCCGTTTGCGCGATGATGAAATGAAGCTTCCACTTCACCATGCTGCGAAAGAAAACAGTGCTGATGTTGTGCGGTATCTGCTTGAACTCGCTGTAAGCTCTCCATAACTTTAAAACGTTTTGCGAGAATGGTTGTGAATTTATTGATACTGCTGCTTTGGCATTGTCAGCATCGATTGCTTGTAAGAAGTGGCTATACAGTGCAAAGTCAAAATGAGGTTTCGGCGCCTAACAAGGGAAGCATGTTTAGTCGAAGTAGCCTTTTTAGATGGGGTGAATGCCATAATGGAGAGCTCAAAACGCTTTGAAGCAACCAAGTGTGAACATCTTTTGTTTAGGAGTATTTAGTAAATAAGGTGCTCCTATAATTACCACTGCTTCATTTGAGCTTTGGAAAAATATTACGACACTTTTTGTCCTACTTGCACATGTAATTTTTGCTCTAATAAAAGTTCATATTTCCTTGTTCATAAATGTCCAGATATTAAAGACAGCTTTTAAATCCGCGCTTTATAGATTCCAGTATGGTGTAAACATCCCACTTATAAGAGCCATTTCGACTAAACATCAAACCCAAACACTAATGATTTCTTTGTAAGGCTTTTGAAATCAAAACCATCAAAGACGTGGGGTGTGTATATGTTTCAACTAACCGCCTTTATTGGCACAGAAAACCCTAAAAAAGTGACGATGTTGATGGTGATTTAGTGAGAAAGCTCAATCGTATTAACTGTTCCTTCGTTTAGGACCATCAAGGTCAAGCGTTTTTAACTTTCATCCTGCAGAGCCTTTACTCTATAAAGTGTCTCTGTGCTGTGCTTGCGTTTCTTAGTTTCTACTCTACCTCAGTATCTTGAGATGCGACCTTGTTTCAACATATTAGGTTGTCCCGAAAGTTCGTGCGCACGATTTTTAAAATTTTATAACTTCTGGATTTTTCAACTAATTTTGCTGCTTTTATATTTACATAAAAGAGTAAGTCATGCTCTTTATAATGACATCTTAGTTGCTTACTAGTGGTCATCTGTTGCATAAATAGGAGCGATAGAAGAAACTTATTCATAATTCGAATTTTCTGTGTAGGGTCATAGAATCGGAAACTTGCAACAAAAATCGGAGCAGTCGGTATTGTAGGTTCTTTCACCAGCTCTTTCTAACTATGCAAAGTTTGCACTGATTGAGCGTCTTTATGAAATGTTATGATTTTCGAGCAAGTTATACAAAAGGGCAAATTTGATTTATTTTGTCATTTTTCAGGAAAATCGTAACTTTTCATAGAGACGCTACATCGGCGCAAACTTTGCACTGTTAGATAGAGCGAATAAAAGAACCTACAATATCGACTGCTCCGATTTCTGTTGCAAGTTTCCGATTTTTATGACCCTACGCAGAAAATTCGAATTTTGAGTAATTTTCTTCTATCGCTCCTATCTATGCAATAGATGGCCATTAGCAAGCAGCTAAAAAGTCACTATAAAAAGCGTAACTTAGTCTTTCATAAAAAAATAAAGGCAGTCAAATCGGTTGGAAAATTCAGAAGCCATAAATTTTTGAATATCATGTGCAAGAACTTTCGGGACTACCTAATATGTACTAATATTCGATCTTTAGCCTGACACTATCGATGAGAGCGATCAATATGGCTTCACACCGTTCCTGCAAGCCGTAGCAATGAATGCGCTTGAGGCAGTCAAGGTTTGGTTTGTTCTGTTCAAATCACACATTGTGAGAAAACAACAATCAAAGGTGCTCGTTGAACGTGGCGCCAACATATTCCTTATCGACTGCGACGGACGAACAGCCATCATGATCGGCTCGAAGTATAATGCTGTTAAGGTGCTGCTGGTAAGTGTGTTGTTTTGTATATTGAATGTTTAAGCATAACATACAATTTCATCGGTCTCATCTATTAGGTTGTCCCATAAGTCTTTTCATTTTTGAATTTTCGCTATAATAAGTCACACACTTCTCACTCTAATTAGACATCAGGATACCATTCGATAGAGCAAAGCAAGCTCTACAAGATGGCGTTCATGCTTTTGCACAAGCTTCGGTCCATCTCGAGTTTCAAACCAAAATCCAAAAAGTTTCGGATGCCCAGAAAACCGAAAATTTTTTGTATCTTCGTTCAAAAAAATCCTACAGACCTCTAACTAGCTCACGCATATACATTCCATATCAGACATTCATATGTGCTGTTGCTGTATTTTTTCATAAGCTAGAAATCAAGAAACCGAAAATTTCCATGTTTTTACCAAAGTGATGCTGTGCCGTTCTAACACTAACAGTTGTATACTAGAAGCCCTTAGAAGTACTACTGTAGATTTTTGGCTCTCTATATGCTCTGGTTCACGAGATATATCAAATTTAGCTTTCTTCGCTCGGGTCTCTCGCGTTTAAATCAACATATCTCGGAAACCAGAGCATATAGAGAGCCAAAAATCTACAGTAGTACTTCTAAGGGCTTCTAGTATACAACTGTTAGTGTTAGAACGGCACAGCATCACCTTGGTAAAAACATGGAAATTTTCGGTTTTTTGATTTCTAGCTTATGAAAAAATACAGCAACAGCACATATGAATGTCTGATATGGAATGTATATGCGTGAGCTAGTTAGAGGTCTGTAGGATTTTTTTGAACGAAGATACAAAATTTTTTCGGTTTTCTGGGCATCCGAAACTTTTTGGATTTTGGTTTGAAACTCGAGATGGACCGAAGCTTGTGCAAAAGCATAAACGCCATCTTGTAGAGCTTGCTTTGCTCTATCGAATGGTATCCTGATGTCTAATTAGAGTGAGAAGTGTGTGACTTATTATAGCGAAAATTCAAAAATGAAAAGACTTATGGGACAACCTAATATATATCGGGGACTCACCAAATATCTGAGTAATTCTTGAAGCAGGACTCGGCATCAGCTGGAATCTGGGAGATTTTGAAACGAAGCTTGCTTTGATTTGAAAATTTTTTACAAAATTCCTTTCACTCTCAAACGACACCCCCTTCCCCCTTCTATTTACTCCTGGGAGGCGTGCAAGCTGCACACGTGCAGCGACTGCTATCGCGGCCAGCCGCCGGAATTGCCGGCAAGGCTGCTGCAAGTGGTACAATGAGTACGCTCACCGTCTAAAACTCTTGCCGAGAAGTCTCCTCACGTCGTCTTGCTGAGGTGCGTCAACTTCAGGGCCAACGTGACTCAGACAGCGGATAGGACCTCTCCGCCGGAGAAATGGCAGGGCCGCGGCGTTTCCCCAGCGGTGGGTCTGCCACTCGTTCGCCGGAGCCCTCCCATTTCTGCTCCGGAGACCTCCCATTTCTGCTCCGGAGACCTCCCATTTTCTGCTCCGGATACCTCCCATTTTCTGCTCCGGATACCTCCCATTTTCTGCTCCGGAGACCTCCCATTTCTGCTCCGGAGACCTTCCATTTCTGCTCCGGAGCCCTCCCATTTGTGCTCCGGAGACCTCCCATTTCTGCTCCGGAGACCTCCCATTTTCTGCTCCGGAGCCCTCCCATTTCTGCTCCGGAGACCTCCCATTTCTGCTCCGGAGACCTCCCATTTTCTGCTCCGGATACCTCCCATTTTCTGCTCCGGATACCTCCCATTTTCTGCTCCGGATACCTCCCATTTTCTGCTCCGGAGACCTCCCATTTTTTGCTCCGGATACCTCCCATTTTCTGCTCCGGAGACCTCCCATTTGTGCTCCGGACCCCTCCCATTTTCTGCGGCGCGGCTCTTCCAAATCTGGCGGACTCGCGCCGGGCAAATTTCTTCGGCGCGGCTCTTCCAAATCTGGCGGACTCGCGCCGGGCAAATTTCTTCGGCGCGGCTCTTCCAAATCTGGCGGACTCTCGCCGGGCAAATTTCTTCTGTCAAATCTGGCGTACCTCCGGAGCAGAAATGGCGTACCTTTGCAGCAGGGCCGGAGAAGCGTCCCATTTGCCTGCCAGTGATGTCACCGCGACGGACCGCCCATTTGCCCCGCTCTCATTGGTCAACTGGGTCCGGCGCGACTCTGGCAGATTCGGACTGTCCGGCGGAGGGGTCCGGTCGATTGTCTGAGGATGTCCTTGATATCTAAGTCAAGCAACAAAATTATAATTTCTTAAAAATGCAAATAAACAAGGCTATACAGAGAAGAGTTCTAAGTTATGATGGTCACAAAATGCCTTTTCTCTTGCTTTTCACGTCGGAGATGGATAGTGCAATGGATATAACAGTAAGAATAGTCTGTTAATATTTGTATATTGTGCCTAGTAATGTTGAGCGAGCTAAATAAGCCAAAATAGGCCAAATAACATGAGTAGGTCAATAAAAAGGTGAAGATATACCATATCTTATGTATAAAGCTGAATGTTTGTCTGTATGTCTGTATGTCTGTCTGTGTGTGTGTGTACGTATATTCCGAATAGTAAATTCCATTTCTGACGATCCGGACCAAACTTGGCACACATACACTTCGGGCCCCGGCGGATGTCATAGGCTACTTTTCGTCATCGATCGATATCATTTTATCGATTTTTTGCGAAATTTGAGCTACGGGGCTGGGAGTTGGCACAGGGGGTAATCGAGCATGCTGATTACGAATATTGCAATGACAGGGCCGGGCGGAGTCGGGTAAGTCAACTAGTATGCTGATATAGAAGAAAAGAACGTAGATTATTAAGGAATCAAAATGTCTTATTTCATTTTATACAGTTCTCAGGAAGAACCTCAGGCGCTAGCTTACGAGGAAAACTCAATTGAAATTCATTCAATCTAAGTGTTTTGCGAAGATGAGATATCAATTGAGAAATCTCAAATTTTGGAACCCCGAACTCGTTGCAAGTAAAAAATGATCTGGAATTCAAAACAACACCACTGATAATCTTTTCAACAAAACCTCGGTACAAATTCTGGTGTGTTCATAGATAAGTTAGTTTCTAAGAATTTTTCAGCAGAAAAAGTACAATCTCAATATTCAACTATTACATTTTGATGTCAAAGTTTGTAACAGAAAAAAACTATTAGATTCCCTACTTATACATTTTTTGAATCTTCCGCTTTTTAGCTTTGTTCACTTGTTGGTACTCAGAAAATTATAGATTTTTTTATTTTAGAAAGGACTAGCTGGCTTATCCGGCTCCGCCGTATGTTCCGAATAGAAAATTCCATTTCTGAATCGATCGGGACCAAACTTGGCACACATACACTTCGGGCCCCGCCGGGTGTCACAGTCCACTTTTCGTTATCGATCGATGTCGATTTTATCGATTTTTTTGCAAAATTTGAAAAAAATCGATATCGATCGATAACGAAAAGTGGACTGTGACACCCGACGGGGCCCGAAGTGTATGTGTGCCAAGTTTGGTCCCGATCGGTTCAGAAATGGAATTTTCTATTCGGAACATACGTACACACAGACATACAGACATACAGACAGACATACAGACAGACAGACAAACAGACGTTCAGCTTTATATATAAGATATAGATATCGAGGATATCACGTTATACCTGAGGCTGACATCGCACCTCAACGCGAAGGGGTGCGAGGAAACCTCTCTGCAAGAGTTTTAGACACGAGCGTAATCACTGTACACTTTGCAGCAGCCTTGCCGACAGGTCCGGCTGCTGGCTGCGGGGTATCACTTGCTGGCTGCCGGGTATCACTTGTTACGCGCCCACAGTCACACTGGTTTTTTGCTTGTGCTGTCGTTCAAAACATAAATGGTACAAAACAGAAAACCCCTCTTACCATTTATTCCATAATTAATTCAAAAGTTCTTCATAACGTCTAGGTTCCGCTTTCGTAAAACCTGGCATGTCCGCATCTTATAACTACTTCTGTGCCCCCACAGGTTTGATAGATGGTCTTTATTCCAACCACAAGGCTCAACGTTTCCACGCCTTTGTCTTTCTCAGGCTGCGCTCGAACTGAACGTTGTGCTGGAACTGTTCCCGAACTTTGGGATCAGTATGAACGCAGCCTCAGAGGCCTGAAAATGTTTTAAAGTGTTACCTGTAACTCAACACCACCAAACATCGCCTCCAAAGGAGCTAGTTTAGTCATTTAGACAATTTCTGCCAGCGAAACTGAGAGAAAGCTACAATCTCTGCTAGCGAAACTGAGGGAAAGCTATCATTTCTGCTAGCGGAACTGAGGAAAAGTTCGGCTAGGAAAGCGATAGAAGCATTTTGGAGATCTGGAAAAAATCTAAAAATAACAAAAACAGTGCCTTTCAGTCACTGCTGATCTTTCCTTTCATATCGCTATGCCAGCTGTAGATTACATTGAATGTGTATCTGTAGAATGACTCACTCGTCCCCGCGACCACCATTTCCAGTGCGGACTTCCACGCATATCGATGGTCTTCCGGAAAGTCATCTTTGCTCTGCACAATTTCTGCTATCAAAACTGAGGGAAAGTCGAAAACTAGCTCGTTTGAAAGCGATGTTTGGTGTTGTTGAATGACGGTGACACTTTGAACCATTTTCAGGCCTCTGAGGAAGACAAAGGCGCCGAGTTGGACAGTGTGATTGGATAAAGACAGCTTATCAAACCTGTGGGCGCAGAAGTAGCAAAAAAATTCGAAATTCTTATCACCCTTCACATCGAACGCCAAATGCATTTTACTTCAAGGTCAGCACCCGAAACCTGCTATCCACTTCTCCCTTACTTTCCACTTTTCCCCAAGCTCACCCTAACCTATTCACCTCCACTCTCCCTTCCTTGAGAATGATGACATAAATGGATTACATGAAATAACATAGAACGAGAAAGGGGAAATAGAACGCCACGCTGATCAACACCGAATGCGGTTTGCTTAGGAGCGCGCTTTGCGATCGTAGCAAATCGAGTCTCCATTGAAAGTTTTTGAGAAAAGACTGCAAAACCTTTTTGCATGAACATTTTCACAATGAAAGTGTATGTAGGAAGCATAAAAATTTACACGAGCCAAGGGTCGGTTCCCGCTTAGCTGGAACCCAGCTGAAACCGTTCCAGCTAATTCAGAAGCGGTTGAGCATGTCCTTTGATCACAAAAGTTTTCAGAAATCTTTGGGCCATAATGTGAATCCCCACACGCGCATACGCACTTCAAGTTTGGTGTCTACCATTACGCTTTTATCGCAAACAACGCTTATGTTTCTCCGGGTGTTTTCCCTGCATGCCAGCGGCATGTCTGGACGCCCCTGACTCGCACAGATGGATCTCCTTCCCCAGAGACGATATCCAGCTTGACCTGGTTCCAACTGTGCCGAGCCCTTCCTCAAAGGCACTGTCTATTCAAATTTATGATGACTAGACTTTGTTGATATACAAAATTTGCGTGGACGGTGCCCAGATTTTTGTATCCAAAAGCGTTGCAGTGATAGTTTTGAGTAGCATTCAGACAAGAACTATCTTTGAGTTTGATGAATTTTACTGAAGAGCTGCTTAATCTTTGAAAGCTTCCGTCGACTTCTTTAGAACAAAGAAAGGCAGTCTATGCTACAATGTACTTCCTTAGCTGCAAAACAGGAATACGGCTAGTCTTAAACACTTACTTGTTGCTGGGTAGGCTCTTTGCACCTTGTGGTTTAGGTTGGAAAAGCAGCTTTTTGATTGTAACCTATTCTTCTTGTAATGTACGGAGACTTTCAAGGAGATACTCAATAAAAAACACTCAGTTGGCGGAGTAGACCTTCCCCTACATATTGGTTTCTTCAAGGTGTAATGGTCAAAATCCAATATTTTCAATCAAGGAAGATTCAAAGTTTTGGAGTTATAAATCTCAATGCCTACATCTGCATACTTATCTATTAGCCTATCAACATATTCAGTGCAAGCTGTTTCATCTTCTCACATTGGTCTGGTCAGGATCAGACTCGCACTGACATGATGATGTCTGCATTCGTTTACATTTCTTGTTCGTTTCCGCTGTATTACTAACTTCTTAATGTGTCTCTTTTCTATGGAACGCTTGAGCGTATAAATGAAATGAAATGTTCCCACAAAAGATTTTAGAGAAGGGGTAACAATAAAAAAAGAGATTTCTGCAAACTGCGCCTTGTTTACACTACCTAAATGTGAGTGGAAGCTTGCAAGGAGGAACAGGGACTAGCGCCGTGCATGCGGCCAGCAACCAGTTACCTTACAATCGCTGATAGGTGTGTACGATAGTAAGGTCAGAAAGGGTCGATCGTAAGAGGGTGGGGTTACTAAGCTTGTCGCTCGAAAATTGGTTGCTCGCTTGCTTTTCGGCTAGTTTTATGTTGCGTAACTTGACCACTTCCTTTGAAATTATGTTAGTCCTGCACACACCATGTATCCCTGCAGCATTGGCTCAACTTGTAATATTAGGCTAATGCATAATTTCTATCCGATTTTTTGCCTTACGTTGGAAGCAGCTTTCTAAGAGAATTTCTCTTGCTCTTTCTAACGCACATCCAACTTCAATAAATTTCTTAGTGTAAGGAGATTTCACGTCTAAAATCTCCAAGTGTTCGAGGTACGTTCTCACCTTAGAAATATTTTCTTGCGGGGAAATCTCCACAATGCGCCCTTCAATTCAAGTATCATTGCTCGCGGAATAAGGGTATAGAAGGCTAGTATATTCAGAAGCTTAGTTTCATGGAGAAAACGTCTTGCTAATATTATTGTCGAACATCAATTTTTTGTATAGATGTTTTACAAGCAGTAACTTCTTGCGAATAGAAGTAATCAATGCGTCCAAAGTCAGAGGTGCTAAGGTAAAGCAAGAGCTGGCAGGGCACATTCACCAATTCCTTTTCGGCGCTCTCAATTGTAGAATTTTCATAAATCGTAAATAGGCATGCACGCATGCGCTGAAGAGAGGTCAAAAAGTGGCTTCTTTTTTTGCTCCAAAAAATCTCTCAGCAACGCAGACCCTATGGGCCGTTGCAAAATAATCTTCGAAAATTTCCCTATCTATCCAATGTTAAATAAGATGTGTACCAATTCTTACAAGGGAGCATTGTCATGTTCTAAAAAGACAGTTTTGAAGGAAAACGCTGTGAAGTTTTTGAGTCTTGCTTCTTCCATAACAAGGATTTTCGCAGACCTCAATATGTGTCTAATAGCCAAAAAAACTGCTTAACGCAAAGAAGCTAAAATCTTGGAAAAAGTCAACTATGAAAGCAGTTATGACACTTTGAATTCAAAAAAAAATTCATGTGGACAGAACTTATGCAGCAGTATAATAAAGCAAGTCCACACCATCTTTCTAAATCTCAATTGTTTCAACTTAACGCAGACTTGTTCGAGCCTTGTTAGCTGTGAAATGTTGTTGAGACGGCATATCAACGACTCAATGCGCGAATCTCTAATCTCAATCGCGAATCTCTCGAATCTGTGTTCATTACCTGATCTATCTTTTTAGCGCAAGAACGATGCTCCGCAGTTGATCTTTACTATTTTAGTATCTTATCGATATTTATAAAAGGCAAGAGGCTGATGAAGGGGATTCCTGTCCGAGTATGATAGATCAAGTCGATCACGAGCAAATGTCTCCAATGCACTATGTATGTAACAATGGTTACATGGAAGTGGTCACTGTAAGTTTTTATTAAGCAAGAAAACAAAATAACAGAAAGAACGTATCACAATAATTCTAAGCATCACACAGCTCTTGCACGACAGTGGCGCCAGTATTGACGTCTTGAATGAAGACGAAGCTACCCCTCTCCATCTCGCAGCAAATACGGGGCAGACAGCATGCGGTAATTATGATATTTTTGGCATTTTTCAACCTCAGTATTCTTGTGCTTAAGGTCTAGAAGTCGAGAGAAACATTCTTTATGACTGGTAGAGTGCACAATCACAAAGTTGAATATGTGGCAGAAACATAAAACAAAACCTTTGTTCTGTAGCCAAAAACTGATATAAGCTTTCAAAGGCAGTGTCCAAGCAAAAAGTCGATTTCGAGATTTTGTGCTTACCGGTCCTTTTCGCTATGCAATAGCGAAAAGGAGCTCTAACGCAGAAGGAAACAGGAGGTAGGCGGTGTCTTCCTGGTCCCAGTGGATTCACGCTCCCAGCTTCCGGAACAATCTTCTCGGTTCCGTTTTCAAGGCCCCTGTGCACTTACATTCCCGCTGGGGAGGGGAGGGTATACAGTGCTGGCCAAAATTATAGGTCCACTCTAAAAAATGCCATAACTCACTCTGTTGTGAATGAAATTTTCCAAAATTTGGTATGACACAGCTTGACCAATGCAGCTGTTTAATGTTTTTGGATGTGTGCCTACCTAAAAAAATTCGGGAGCTAATAAGTGCTTTAATCAGTAAAAACTCCAGGTGGACCTATAATTTTGGCCAGCCTTCAAGCCTGCTTTTTTCAAAATTTCTAATTTTTTCTTGAATAATCATACGAAAACGGGAACCGTTTTGAAGACTGATAGTAGGCTGGTAAACACCCGTCTGTACCAAATTTTGGAAAATTTCATTCACAACAGACTGAGTTATGGCATTTTTTAGAGTGGACCTATAATTTTGGCCAGCCCTGTATGAGAGCGTCATATCTCGCTACTCTAGATATCTTTCTTCATCCTTCTCTATCTTGCTTATAGAGGTTCTCATACACTTATACCGGCACATAGTCGACGCCAGATTACTTTTATACAAGATTGCTTTTTGCCATTTTGTGTGGTCCTAGGGGATCCCTAGGGAATCACACAAAAAGGCAAAAAACCAAACTTATATGGCAGTAACCTGGCATCCATTATGTGTAGGAAACCTCAGTCATTTGTAACTTAGTATGTGAGAGTGAGATTGAACACTAAGCCCTATTAGCAACGGCACCCATACTAGTAACTTCATAGTAAAACATTTTCTAGCCTAGCAAAATGTAGAAAAGTATTCTACTGACTAATACGTAACCATCTAAAGCAAAAGAAACAAGGAAACAAAAGATAAATCACTGAAAAGGAGCAGGTTCTCGTTTCGCAGTTCGTCAGTTAGCATGTATAGTGTGCACTACGGATACTAAGTTACAAATGACTCGACGATATAAATTTACGAGAACCTATATAAGCAAGATAGAGAAGGAAGAAGAAAGATGCCTAGAGTAGCGAGATATGACGCATCTCCTCCCAGATCCCCTCCCCTCCCCAGCGGCGATGTACGTGCATACGGGCCCAAGTCACGTGTTGCACTAGGCGATCATGTCAGGGCGGCTAGCGGAATCGAGAAGATTGTTCCGGAAGCTGGGAGCGTAAATCACAGTGGAGAAGACCCGACTGTAAATCCGCGCTCCCACGGCCTGCTGATTTCCCTCCTGCGTTAGAGCTCTTCTTCGCGTTTTCGTCTCCGTGGGGGTTTTCAGATTCAGCATGAAGCAGAGGTTCATTGTTCAATAGACTTTTTTAAAACAAACATTCAATAACTGTGTGCTAATTATTCCATTTCAGCTTAGCGAATAGGCCCGGATAAGCACAAAATTTCAAGGTCGACTTTTTGTTTGGAGACTGCCTTTGAAGCTTTCTTAGAAACTGGTTATATTTCTATTCTGATATCGCAGTGGCTAACAGACAAATGGACTGACTTGCACAAAGATATTGAGCGTTTGTTTTGAACAATTCTATATTGAACATTGAACTTCTGCTTCCATTTTATAAGAGGAAATCCGAGAGCTTCCATTTAAAAAAATCGGTATGAAATCCCAATCGCACAAAGATTTGTTGGAAAGATGATTCATGATTTCATCTTAAAACTAATAATCACAGCAAATATGTTACAGTGCGACAACTTCTGGAATGGGATAAGAAATTGGTGTTGTATAGAGACGAAAATGCATGGACTGCATTGCACTTTGCAGCTTCGAACGGTAGGAATATACAATTCAGATTACATGAGATTGTTCAAAGGATGTTTATGCTTAGAGCTACTGACAATAAACTACGAAAAAATACGAAAGTATATGATTTAAACAAACGCAGCTCCTCTCGTTTGGTGAACCATATCTACCGTAGTCACCCCCTTTTTGATAACAGCAAACAGGAGTTTTGCTAAACAACCTATAAACTCGGTCACCCTGCAACAGCCGCTGACATCTAAAATGGATGTTGAGCTTTCTGCCTTCCGTCTCACTGTTTGATACGCCCATTTGCGCTCGGCCAAGCTTTTGATTTTCCGCAGTGCTAGAATACGTCTGGTGCGTTGCTACAATTGTAATAAACGTCCTACAACGTTTCCGTTTTCTTCATTGGCGACTCTTCGTTGTATATGATTGAAATGAAGGGGTCTGGGAAGTGCTCTCTCGCCAATGCGCTTTCTCAGACACTTATTGTAGTAAGCGTAATAATAACCCACTAAGTAGAAACCGAAGGAAATTTTTGGAACTACCGCTTTCGAGAACGGAAAAGAGAAAGCTACCCATGCTTTGAGAGCAAAGCCCGGCACTTGATAGCTTCAAGCATTTCTGAAAACGATTTCCCTATGACTTCGCAAGATGATTCCGAAGTTCTCAAGGATTATGATGTGGGATGGAGGCTACAAAAATCACGAAAGAACTTGACCGTTTGCTTCAGAACTGCTCAAGAAAACATTGATGACCAGAAAAACATCGAACATATGAACCATTACAAAAAGATTTCGAACAGGCAGGGCTTGTTCTGTTCTTGGTTTTGTTCATCATGCAAGATTCAGGACACCGTACAATGCCTACACAGCATGACTTTAGTTTATCGAAAATATCAACTATGGCAATCCTTTTTCTGCGTTTCTACCTGCGAAGGCAAATGTTACATAGAATGAAGAATGACTAGGAGTCAGTGGCAGTCCTAGAATTTCCGTCTGGGGGTGGGGGCCATTTCTTCCATAAATGAAGGTGCGTAGCGTTAGGCACGCACTCCGAGAAATGTTTTGGGGTATTTGTCAAAATTTTTCAAGGTCCAAAACCCCTAAAATCTAGGGCGTGGTTTCAGCCATGCCCTCGACAAAATTTTTTACAAGGCCAATTTCACTTTTTTGAAAATTTTTAAAGTTGATTAAATTGATTACAAGACTAAAAAGTCATTTGTATTTTCTATAACCCATGTAAGTAGATTCCAAAAATTTCGCGAGCGATGTTCATCGTTGCATTTCATGTTTGATCTATTCACGACTCCAAAATAGGGGAAGCAAAGGTTTGATTGGTCTCTTTACGAATGATCGGTTTTTTTGAAACGCTCAAGTAGTCGAGTGTGATGCAAGAGGAACGATAGCAATTACCAGCCTCTGCTACCATTCGCATGGCAATGTAACTAGAGCGCATCTTCTTTGTAAAAGTCGCGTATTCTTTCTGAGCATAAAAGCGGGTTTCGTTAATGACCGACAAGGAAAAATAGCCTACGACACTCATTCGCCCTAAAGCGCTTATTTGCAAAGTCTGCTCCAGATCAGCTTTGAAATGATCTCTCCTTTTTTGATGCTAGGGACATACAGAGTGAATTTTTCACTTACCTGGGCTTTTGCTTCTTGCTGTATTTGTAAATGCACTTTAGAGAATGAAATTTTCGAAAGCAGGCATTTTCAAAAACTCTTGATTTGGAAAGTTGACGTAAGCGCAGTGCGCGCCAGCACAGTTGCTGTGAAACCTACGGTAATAACAATGTTATGGCCTGCTACGAAGCACCCCCTACTTTGGCGGGACGCTGAATTTAGCCTTAAGGATGAAGCAGTGGCGGAGTGAGCTGATAACAAGTCACGAAATATTCAAAAATGGTCTATATGCTGAAAAAACTGCGCTAAGAAATAGTTTGTGTAGTTTTTGTAAAGCTTAAAAATTTCGATTTGACAGAATCAGAGGCGGAGTAACGAAATATTTGAAAAGCTTGCAAGAAAATTTTTTTTGAGGAGCGCTGCTGGTGAGAAACTTCCTTCCCCTAAGAAAACTACTCTGTTGCTGTAGCTGATAAGCCATTGTGTAACATAATAGTATAAATAACCGCTCTCCGTTGTCCGAACGAGATGCGAGGCATTAGAGCCATGCGTTGCTAACTTTTTTGTAAAAATAGAGCGGAAAATGTTTGAAGAAAGAGAAAGAAAGTGCACAATTTTGGTGAACCAAGTCACCGTTGCTCTTATATTGACGTTTCAAACATGCCCGTTTTAAAAGCAAATCGCAGTGTATGATCGGCTCCCGGATTCGTGTGGAGGCGGGTTGCAGACTTCCCTGATTCATAGGATAAGCCTTAACGAGAGAGTATGAAATTGAATGCTGTAAATGGATGTTTGACAAGTTTTTCCTGAAAATCAGGAAAGTCCGCAACCCGCCTCCACACGAATCTGGAAGCCGATGATATGTCCGTGTAAATCAGACTTCCCCACTTTATAATTGCAGCAACTAGAAGTTGTAATCCGAGGAAAATACAACTCATTTACAGTCTCAGAAATTCACGCTGCTGTTCAAATTTAGGACACGATGTGACGGCGAAGGTGCTCATTGACGCGGGTTCGGACGTGAATGCGCGGAATTCACAAGGGAAAACACCTTTGGATCTAGCCGTTGAAGGAGATCATTACGATACTGTGAACGTTCTTTTGGAAAAGGGAGCCGTTATCGAAAGCGCAAATGATGACAGGTGTGGCGCTTTCAAATTTTTTGCTGAACAGGTCTAGCCGAATGTTACTTTTTTGAATTATACAGTGCTAAGTACAGCTACAAATCCACCTCAAAATATCGTATCTCGTCTTCTCGTCATTGGAAGTGTTCCGTGCCCCTGCCAATTCACCGTTGCCAAACGCAGCTCTCATCGATGTTTCTGCCCGGATCCATATAGATAAAAGAATCTAGAACTCGTTTTTCATTCATTACTGCATTCCTTCACTCTCATCTTTTTGTACGCTATGACTCAAAAGATTTTTTTCTTCACTTTTTTCTTTGTTCACAAATGCATTAAAAACTGCTTTCCAGCTGGTATGCTTGATTCTTGATTCTACTGATTCTAGGAGGAAATCTTGGGAGTTGAGCCTTTCTGTGAATACTGTGAAAGGGCACTTGCGCATTTTAATTGCATAGACCTCAGGTTTAGTGAAACCGCTCTGGACTTTAAATCGTTGTCACTTTTAGGGCCGAATACACGAACTCGCTGGGGATGGAACTAAGCCTAAAGAACTTTATATCCTAAAGCTCTAGTGTTCTGAGATTCATGCTGTCTAATTAAATGCGGACGTTTCTATCACCCTCTAATATAAACGTACTGAATGGAACTAAATTGTACAAGCTGTTTGTTCCAGCTTTTATGATCCCTTAACCACCCGCGGTCTATGGCCTTTTCATCAAATCATTTTTTGTATTTATTGAAAACATTCCGAAGTTATAGCGATTTTCCATTCTGACAGTGTTGAGCAGGAAATTGTCAAGACTTAGCCCATCCATACCAACATGCTTCATCATCGAATTCGCCTTGAAGCGCTGATAATAAATTATGTTTGTTTTCTGCCAGGCTATTGTCTGGACGGAGTTATGAGCTTTTAAATTTGCGATATGCCAAATGTTCTACGGCGCTTGTTCCACGAAATACGTTTCAAAATCACTAATCCACGTTTTTAAAGAAAGTGCTTCTTCCCTGTAATTGAATTATCAATAGCAATTACGAATCCGCGCCATCAGGCTGCCTTCAAAAAAAAAACGTATTCGTCAAAACTCGATGAATTTCTCATATCTGAATAATAACTTCTTCCGGATGGTAGTGTGGGAGAGATGAACATCTAAAATCGGCGTTTTAAGACGAGCCCGATGATATACAGCTTGTTTGGAATGGCTGGGTTAAGTTCTGAATTTCCTGCTGAGCTTTTTTATGAGAAAAGTGATGCATTGTATGGAGCAAGCAATGAAAAACAACTCAAAAATCAAGGTTTATCGAAAACCTATTGATGACTCATTTGCTCTTAGTAGAAGCATGTTTTGTCGGGTGATTAGATGATTAATACAGCTTTAAATAGCAAGTGAATCAACCGTTTGTAACAAGACATACATGGTCTGTCTCGATTGGAAACAGCACGTTGAGGCCATTTGTCGGAAGTGCCTACCGCAATCCTACAGTGATATAGAGTGAACGATTTACGTTCGTTCGATTCTCGTTTAATACTGCAAATCTAAGTTGAAACCAGCTCTACAAATTGGTTACCTAAAGCTTCTCGAAATACTTTATGACAAGAGAATTGTCAACAATCAAACAGTAGGCACTTTTTTGGGACACCATGTATATTAGGTTGTCCCGAAAGCTCTGTCATTTCATGAGAAGTCGTAAGAGTGCTCTATCTCAACACTGCTTTTCTTGTAATTTTTCTAGAAAGAACAATCTTTCGCTTTCGAACACCCTTTTGCCGAGCTTTTAATATGCACTGACTGCAAAAATAAAAATGGACAAAGAAGATCATATAAGTTTTGACCACTTTGAGTTAGTCAAAAATCTGGAACGCTGCAGAAAAATTTGAAGTTGTCACTGCATAAGTTTTTTGACCACTGTTTGCGAATTTGAAGAGTTTATGCTGTTTGAACGTGCGTGCAAAATATGAATCTGACAGAGTGACTTGATGTTTCAGCGCTTTCTGTGAACCCAAAAAAGTAGCTTTTCACGAAGACGTTCAAGAAGCACAAACTTTTCACAGTTGCAAAGAGTAGGTCAAAAAACACATGTATTGACTATTTCAGATTTTTCAGAATTCTGGATTGTTGCTAACTCAAAATGATCAAATCTTGTATGGTCTTCTTTTTCTTTTTTATCTCTACAGTCAGTGTGTGGTAGAAGCTCGGCAGAAAAGTATTTGAAAGCAAAACACTTGTTTCTTCTAGTAAGACGCCACGATGATCGAATCTGTAGAGATAGAACAATGTTACAAATTTTCAAAAATGAAACGACAGAATTTTCGGGACGACCCAATATAATAAAGTGAATGTCTGTTTGTCTTCATTAGTCTGTCTGTATGTGTACGTATGCTCCGAGTAGAAATTTCTATGTAGAACTGTTGGACTAAACTTCATGCAAAAAGGGAAAGTAATGGTTACTTTTTCCACATGATGTTGATAGGGACCGAACGAGACCGGGCATCTCAGCTGGAAAGCAATATTCTCATTACAGATGTACCACACCTCTGCATGTAGCTGCTGAAAAGGGTTACGACCGAATTGTTGAAAGGCTTCTGTGGGAAGCTAGTCCAGTCAAGAAAAACGAAAATGGCGAAACAGCCCTGGATTTGGCAATTTCTAACGGACACGAGTAAGTATTAATGCTGCGACTGAACTTGCGAACATTGCTTCGTCCTAAGGTCGGTTGCACGTGTGCTTGTCGACTCAAGCTATTGGGAAGATGTAATGGCACCTACGGATACAAAGCAGATGTCTCGTCACAGCGAAACAAGGACGACACCGATGAGGCAACTAATTGATAAGTTTCCGAAAGTCGCAGAAGTAGTTTTTGATAAATGCATGTAAGCTTGTACTCAAGCATTTTTCCTCAACAAATTGGAGAGATTTAGAGAACTGCAAGAACAGCCCACATCACCATTGAAATTTAAATGCTACTATTTCAAGTACCTCGACGACACATACATGATGCCTTCAAAAGATGGAACAGGTTTGTCATGAGTAATCCAAGGACGATAATCACGGTGTTAATTTGAAGAGCTTACTGCTGAGATTGATCCCTACGACGAAGATGGAAGACTGAAAAGAGAAGCCAAAGCTTACTCAGATGACTACGATGTTGTCTACAAGTACCACCCTTTGAAGATGATGGTAAGTCAGAGTGATCTACCAAATGGATTGAAGTATCTAACAATTTCGGGTGTTAACGCAAACCTTTCTTTGTGAGGACGTAAATGTAAGCCCACAACTAGTGTATTCTTGCGACAATCTCACAATATAATCGTCTTATATAAAAGTGGATCTCTGTTTATCTGTCTGTCTGTGTCTGCACTATGTTCCAAATAGAAATTTTCATTTTTAAACCGATCCAGAACAAACTTGCACACGTACAACGGAGTGGACGACTGCCGTAAGCCACTTCTAAACAACAGAGCATATAGTCAAAAATTTTATTAGAGCGATACAAATACCCTATTTTCAGGTGTATAAGCCGCACCCTTTTTGCTCTAAAGGCGTACACGCCAAAAGATTGACTGTTATTATGGAGCGCGTTAAGTGAGAGCAGTATGCGATAAGGCGACCGCTTCGCGAGACACACGCGCGGCGGCGCGCCTGGGTCTGCTCGCGTTTAGAGCAAAAAGGGTGCGGCTTATAGACCTGAAAATAGGGTAATGGAGATTTCGCTTCATATACCTAGTATATATAAGTACGCTGCTTGCGCTTTCAATCGAACCTATCAGTTTCTTGAGTTAATATCTTACATACAAAGTGGTAATTGCATTCATGGCTTTGGAAATTGTCAGTAGCTTTTCAGAGTATATTTTTACAAATGAAAGCCTTACATCACTGCATATTCAAGCTATTCAACAGAAGTTTTAGAAGCTTTTCGAATATTAAATGCAGCGGTGAATCATATTTCAAAACTTTTCATGTTCTGTTTGAATACTCAGACATGTTCCGCCCTCAAGTAGCGTGAACAACAAAGCCCAGCGAATTTAGAGTATCGTTAGCATCTATCACGATTCTTCACTTGCATGCTTTGAAACTTCTGGGCAAACTGCGAACATGAAAAAACTGCTTAACTTTTGTAGCGTTCGGAATGTTAATAGCTTTGCAAAAGGCCGACAGTCAATCGCGTGTTATGTCTATCTGAAAATTTCGTACAGACAGTTCGCATCTGCTGCTCAAAGGGCAGCGGTCTCTCAAGACACCTCTATTGCAGTTGTCCATCTGCAGAATGCTCACACAATGAGATCTATAGTATAACTAACCATATGAGCACGTAGCAAAAAAACTTTTCAACTGATACGTATTCTGAACGAAAGCACGCAACCTTTAAAGTATATCTGCCACTACATCAGAGCTCGACATTGAAACATTGGATCTTTCTGGTCAATGTAAAATAGATTTATATGAAGCCAGTGTGAGAGAAAGATGCTGTCTGTTCTTGCAGGCAAATGCAGAAAAACTGAAACTTCTTTCTCATCCGCTAGTGATTGCACTTATTAAACACAAGTGGAACAGTCTCGGGAGATACGTCTACTACTTGGGCGAGTTTGTTACTTGATCTGGTTTTTATATCGCAGTAAACTTCTTTTTCAGCTTTGATGGTTTACATCGTTTTCATGGCTCTTTTTACTCTCTTCATCACTTATACTCCTGCCCCTTTCAATGTGTACGACGCAGATAAGGATGCAATGGTCGATTTCAGCGCTTACCTTTATGCGAGAAATGCTACATGCGAGGAAGTTGTAAGTGCAACTTTTGCTAATAAGTAGTCAGAGGTTCAAGCAATACTAACAGTAAATGTAACTTGTCAAAAGCGATCATGAAAAGTGTCTACTTTGTAATGCAAAATGCAAAATGTTGCAGAGAGTGGTACGGAAGAATTGGCTGATAGACATCAAGTGGGCAGTGATCGGTTTAGCCGTCGCTCAGCTAGTCAAGGAGGTAAACAACCTATCACTACCCCAGAGTCTCTTTTCAGCTTGTTCTGTTTTAGTTGTTCCAGCTGGTCACTCGACGTCTCAGATATCTCTCTTTGGACAACGCCATCGAGTGTTTCGTATACTCGTCAGCGATTATTGTAGTGTCAGATATATCGCCATGCTCTGAAAAAACTGGACTGAGGATGGTAAGTTCTTCTGCTTTGCTTCCCAAATTCCAAATCCAAATCTTATCAATACTTCTTTTTTGGAGAGGAAATAATGTCCGTTGCTGTTCAAGCCAATTATGTTGTAGATGCATAGCAGTTCTCTCCCTCCTCACCCCCCCCCCCCCCCCCCCACCCCTCTCAAGAATGGGTCGCTCCTGGAAAGTTTTTGAACCTATGTATTACAAAATTGTGAGGATTTGTTTTTTTGTTTTTATTTGTGAGTAATCAGAAGAAATTTGATTTCTACAGATACATCAACGTAGCCTTGTAGGGAAATTTTTCTTAGGCGTGGCTATCTCCACTCGGGTAGAGGGCTGTATGTTGCCGGAAGTGGAAGGGTCCCGCTCTGACAATGCAGTAGATATTCAGCCTGTGCGAGTATTGGAATGTGTATTTGTTGCACATGTCCGGCGGGACCTCCCACTTTCGGCGTTCTATAGTCCTCCACCCCCTCTACTCTGCTTTCTTTGAATTTCTGGGCTGAGACCCGCAAAATTTTTCGAAAACACCGCAGGCGTAGACCACCCCATTTGAAAAATCGGCTGCCACCTCCCCTCCCCCCTCCCTTCCCATCCTCTTCCACCCCCTTCCCACAAAAGAAATTTGCTGGAGCGTCAATTTTACATGGATATGGATATTACAAAGATGGGTCAAGAGAGCTAAAGTATACAAGGGTGATTGGAACCAGTTAGTGTTTGCATCATTTCACTTCAGTTTTTGAAAATGAACTGACTTCGGCTTTACCGGGACGTCAAGTAGATAGTGACACCTTTTTCTAAAAATCCCATTTTTCAGAATTGGCAATGGTATCTTGCGGCCGTCTGCGCATTTTTATGTTGGATGAATTTGCTGCTGCTCATTCGTAAACTGCCAAGGTCAAATGTTTACTAGCCTTCTGCTTCCGGTTACTTTCAGTCTCGATTTCAGATTTGGGATTTACGTTGTAATGTTCTTCGATATCCTTCGGACATTTTCACGCTTCTTCATCATCTTCGTCCTTTTTGTCGTTGCCTTCAGCATTGCATTTTTCGTTATCATGCAAAATAGGGTAAGGTTAGATGAAAGCGTCCGCAACTTAATCGATCTGGCAACGAATTCCATTCCAGCCTGAATTCTCAACCGTACCTTCGGCTGTGCTAAAGACTGCCGTAATGATGATTGGTGAATTGGAATTTACCGCAATTTTTCACGGCGATATGCATGTGCATCCGGAACGATTATTTGGCCCCGAACTCGCTTATCCGCTGTTCCTTTTCTTCTGCGTCATCATGACTATTCTTTTGATGAACTTGCTGGTACTTTGGAATTAGACTTTTCATATCTATACCGATTTTCTTTAGGTTGGTTTGGCTGTAGACGACATTAAGGGTGTGCAGGACAAAGCTGAATTGAAACGATTGAGTATGCAGGTGAGAGTTGCTTCTGATCAACAAAAGCTTTTTATAAACACATCTTTCTGTCTCTGTCGCAGTCTGGTGTATCTAATATAAAATAAATTGTTACCTCCCTGGCCCGTAAATAAAGCAAACAAGTTTGGTATATTTTTATCTCAAAGCATTTATTGAATAAGGTGCTTTGATATTATCATTCTCCATTGAAGTCCTAGAAAAATATTACGACAGATTTTGTCCTACTTGCACATGTAATTTTTTGCTCCAGTAAAAATTCATAGCTTCTCAACCATAAACGTTCCGCAGATAAGAAAGGCAAATTTGGAATTATTATTTTGTTTTTTCCAATATGGTAGACATCTAAAAAGGCCACTTTGACTAAACAAGGTTACCTTCTAAGCTAATCACTTAGGTGGATCTCGTATTACAAGTGGAAGCATCGATGCCATATATCCGCAAGTTGACAACGCGCTCGCACTATTCTACTCAATTAGGCCTTGTCAGCTGGTGGAAAAAATTACGCACTCGATTTGGTTTCAACTACACCGAAAAGGAAGAGGACCTTGACACTATAGACAAAAACGTAAGGACGTTTTTTTTTTTGAGAAGCTTGACATAATCCTCTTTTTTAGGATTTCGCTTACGATATTCAGTTATCACTTGAATCCATGTTCAAGCAGCTTCATCAACTACAGGAAAATATTGACAACCTTTATGAACGCCAAGTTCGAACCGAGGCTATGGTCCGCAAAGTACTTGAACATAACAAAATAGACTATGAGGAAGTCGACTCAGATAAGCCGACTCGATGAGTAATTGTTTCGGAAATCCTGTGGAGCTTTATAATCATTTCAGTTATTGTGTACTCATTTTGATGCATGGCCCCTCAATTGAGTTATTATCTTGGTTCATCTGTAAAGTAAAAACGATTTTCGCAACAGTGTGTGTGCCATGACCAACATCGAAAGTTGCACCTATTTGTAAATGTCTTGAAAATGTCTTGCACGATAGAAACCAAATTCCATGCGCTCATGAGATTTGGTCACATCTATCGAATCGCCTTGAAGTTACGCAAAAAATGCGATCGGAACCAACCATTGAAATTTGTTTGCCTTTGTAAGTAACCTTCGGATGATTGATGATCATTTTGAAACTGAGCTTTTTACGCTAAGCAGATCCTTGTTCTAGATGATTAGCGTAATTGCGTCTTAAAAAGCGAGCCTTCTTTGCCCTTGATTTGTGGCTGTGTAATACTGTTTTCCGTAACTTCGTCTAGTCTCTTATAGTATTTAATTTTACAACAAGTCTCATGCGCAATGGCGGGTTCATTTCGATTATGCATGTTTGATATATTGTTGCCTTTCTGTCGATAAGCGAGAATAAAATGTCCTTCCATTTTTACAAATCCTCACTTTTTAGACAACTTCGCTGTGTTTGCCTTTTGAGGTCAAAAATCGTAATGGGATCAAAGGGCCATAATAATCTTTATGCGTCTGACTTGCAATTGCGGTGCGCATTACATTTGGTTAACGCAAAGGATACACAAGTACCCAGCTGAGAAAGGTAACCCTCATATGGGCTTTCAACGGCAACTATACGGACTTAAGGTATGTCTGGCTATCTCATTGCACATTTACGAAAAATCCCTGCTACCAAAAGTTGTTAACCTTGAAAAGGCGACTTAATATAGCCTGCATGCGGGAAAATAAGTGGATATGTCGTGCGATATTAGAGAACACTGCACAGACATGGGGTTTCATGGATGTCTCACTGATGACATCGTTGGTAAGGTTAAGTGCAAAAGCAGCTGTCTTATAAATTCAAAATGAGATGATGTGGAACAGCTTCTACACAAAATAGGAGGAAGTTGAAATGGTAGAGAAAGGTGTTATAGAGAGTTCGGATATGAATTATGCATTGTGAGTAGGCGCACTTCAAATTCGGTTCAACTCAACCCCTCAATACATATCTTCCCCTGAAAAAATACCATCTCATTGCCTTTTTAAGAAATTCAGGATATGAAGATATAAGCTATTTGACAGTGGGTTTGAATACAAGTCTCTTTCTTAGTCACGTGTATCCCTCAACATGATTCGCAGCTTCATAATAAAAAATCCTGTGGATAAGTGCGCCGTAGCTGTATAACCACCTCAAAAGATAAGCCCTTAGAAGCCAGCTGTAAATTTTTAGCTCTCTATCAGCTCTAGCTCCCGAGAAATATCGAATTTGGCATTCCCTACTCGGGTTTTTCGCGCTTATCTCAACATTTCTCGGGAACGGCTTGTAGAAAGCTAAGGATCGACGGTTGTACTTTTAAGGGCAGCATACAAGGGGTGTAGTATACAACTACTAATGCAATAACAGCACAGCATTACTTTGGCAAAAACATGAAAATTGTCATTTTTTCATTTCTAGCTAAAAAAAAACAGCAACGGGACAGAGTGTTTGATGTGAAGTGTATAGGCGTGAGCAAATTTTGATTTTAAACTTGAGATGGATCAAAGCTGGTGTAAAAGCTTAGGAGCCATTTCATAGAGCTTGCTTGGAACGGTTTCCTGATGTTTATTTAGAATAAGAAATGTATGACTTACTGCAGCGAAAACTCAAAAATGAAAAGACTTATGGGACAACCTGATAGTAAACTCATTGCCAGTGCTGACTGCTCAGTGAGTAGCCGCAATGATGCTTAATCTCGTTTATTCTACTGGGATGGCCCGAAAGTTCGTTCGCACCATTTTCAAAAATCCATAACGTCCTTCCCTCACAATGATTTTGCGCATTTCAAATTTTATTAGAAAGCGTAAAGCATGTAGTTTCCAAACGACCCCTGGTGGCTTTCCAACATGCTCTGGTTGCAGAGATAAAAATGAAGGAACGAGGTCATCCGAAATTCGGAATTTTTAAGCAGAAATTTTAGAAATTCAGAAACTGTGCGATAAAATCCAGAACAGCATCCTAAGTTTTCTTATATTTTATTACTAACTAAGTCAAATCTGCGTTGATCGAGGTCTTTTTTCAGAAGTTATGATTTTTTGAAAAAAAATGCCGAAAAATCGATTTCTTAATAATCAGGAAAGTGATTTTTCGGCATTTTTTTCAAAAATTCTTAACTTTTAAAAGAAGGGCTCGATCAGCACAAACTTAACTCAGTTATTAATAATATATAAGAAAACTTAGGATGATGGCTGTTCTGGATTTTATCGCACAGTTTCTGAATTTCTAGAATTTTTGCTTAAAAATTCCGAAATTCGGATGATCTCGTTTTTTCATTTTTATGTCTGCAACCTGAGCATGTCGGAAACTCCTCAGGGAGCACTTGGAAACTACATGTTTTACGCTTTCTAATAAAATTTGAATTGCGCAAAATCATTGTGAGGGAAAGAGGTTATGGATTTTTGAAAATGGTGCGAACGAACTTTCGGACTAACCTAATGTTATCACAGGCATTATGTATATAACAATGTGATTTAGACTAAAATGTCATAGATTGCAAGCCATGAGAAGATCTGAAGGGTAAATATAATGAAGTGGAATAGATAGTGCAGGCGTAATTTACAACGATAGCCAGAAAATTGAGCAATAGTCATGCTCATCAGCTTTACTTGGATAGTGTATCCATCACTGATTCAATTACGTTTGATTTCATGACTTAGCTGCAATATTCATTACTTTACGAATATCTGCTCTGAGAAGAATAGCAATTGAGAAAAATAGCAAAATTCTTAAATCAGTTGTGTCCACTGATCTAAATTTTGAAATGGGTGGACTTTCACGTTATTATTTCAACCAGCACTTTAGTTTTTGCGACTTACGCAATAGATACTCCCTTCTCTTGATTGTTTCACCCTCATTTTCAGCTAACAACATAACTACCATATTTTTCAATGTGTTATTTCTGCTTAAATTCCATTAGATAGGGTATGGTTACTCATAATTAGTCATAGCTGAGAATGTTTGATATTTGAAGTGCTGATAAATATAAACGTGTCTCTCTTCTAATAATGCGAAACGTATGAAGGCGATTAAGGCATGCAGTGCTATTTGCATATGTTCGATGCCTTTTCTGACAGCAGTGCGCATTGTAGCCCTCGCGAGGTGTAACCTCTCTGGGTAAGAAAAAATTGTTTTAATTTCCGAAAATGATAGCGGTAACAAGGTTGAAGTTGATTTTTCATACATACAAACCGCTACCAGGAAAAAATCACTATGGGACTTGAAAAGTTTTTGGCCTAAAGCATGTAGTGCCGCTTTGTTCTTGACGCATTTCTTGTTTCATTGTGCTCGCCAAATTTACCATCAAATCAGCAAACATATCTCTCTGTGGTTTTGGATTTTTATTCGCTGAGGCACTTAATATAACTTTTTTGGATGCCGGTCACAAAGAGAGAGCCGGTTCTATCGAGACGACTCTCGTAAATCATTTAGAAGGTCTCTTCCTTAGTCTGTAATGCATGTAAAAAGCCTATCGGCTCAAAAGTATTCTTCTCCTCCTAAGAAAAACCAAAAATGCACGTACTTCTCAAAGTTTGCGAATTTTTCAGTCAAAACCCGTAGTTAATTTGTGGTCACTGAATAGGCATACGATGCATATCAGAGCAAAAAGCAGCCAAAACTGTATTTGAGAATCCTGAGGCCCCAGGAAACCTACCAAATACCCTGTATGAAGAGAGGAAATTTCATTTGCCATGATTGTAATCGAATCGTTTCAAATGTAATCACCTTATCATCCCAGCATTTGTAAAACTGCTAGCTTAAGCCTGACAGAAGAGCCTTCGCCTGAGTATACCTCCTTGTGTACTTTCTTCGAATCGTCAAATACAGCCGCTTTCCTAACCCTTTCTGCTCCCCATACACCTACGCGGACGAGCGTACAGTTTGGCGCGCCATTTCCACCTGCAAAGTATATCTGTCCGTGACACATGTACCACGATGCGTAACAAATAGGCGTCCAAAAAACATTTTTTCCATAGTTACTGCTACCCTTGGTCTGTGTCTCTGACCTGCGCCATGCATATCTGACCTGTTGGCAACATGAATATGTTTAACATGTGATAATATTTGACCAGGCTTTTTGGCTTTTTGGCTTCTGAGCTTAATGTCAACATGTTGCTGCATGTTGCCAACACGTTAGGCCCGCTTGTTGCAGGGTCAGACACGCAGCAAGGGTAGCAGCAGATGTGGAAGGGACGATACCGTCCGCGCTTATCAATATAGAGTTCCTAGAACGGTGGTTTTCTAGGACTCTACACGATTTTGAGTTTGGGTTTGTACGGGGGCCATGAAAAGGCTCGAAATTGAAAAAAAAACATGAACGTTGAGAATTTGCTCAAACGGTACCTTTCAAACTCTTTTTTCAACTTTTTTCTTGATGTTTTCCACAGTTAAACTCTGACTTTAGAAAGCATCAACAAAAAAGAAAGTCAATCATGACTGTAATGTGTTTTGCATGATTACTACCGTGCCATTGTCTTCGATTAGTCATTTACCTTATGTAGACATCAGTCCTGTTCAGCCTAAAGGAGGAGTTGACGTGTTTTTCCATTATGCCTACTGCGCTTTTCTATTTTCCCTTTGCAGTTTTCCTTTTACATGTTTTCAATATGGAATTGATAGGATGGCAATGGCGTTATCATTGCATTAGAAAATTCTCAATCCCTTGTTGGCACCTTCGACTTATCATATTTAACTCATTTTGCGCAAATGGAAACTTCAGTTCGAATCTTTTTGCGCAATTTTGAAAGCAGACAATGTGAACCTTGTCATAAAATTCATTGTTATTGGGCCCAACTATACTGCTTGGCCAGTGCAAAGACGATTACGCTTCGGCGTTTCTTTTCGTTTCGCACCATTGGCCCTTGACTCTTTTCGATGCCGTGAAACTGATGTGTGAATTATTCTGCCGTAAAGGAAATGATTCAAGGCAACTTTGATTATTTTATGTAGCACCGGACGAAGTGTCGATTTATCGGCGTCGTTATCGTAAAGATATTAGCCTGAAAATAAGGGACAAAGGATTTTCATATTTTCTGCGCAAAAAAAAAGCGATAATTACATCCACATCTTGGCAGCAATTCTTGCACACAAGTACCCCAGTTTCACGAGTACAGACGCGAGAGAATTTCTTCTAAAGTTGAACAGCAAAGCACGGCAAAGAAGCATATGTACTGCTGCGTATTGCCTAAGAGTGTCGTGCGGCATTAGTCTCGTGCTTCTGAATAGAGCGAGGCTGCTGAGCGCTCGCTCAAAATTGAAAAAGATGCGTTTTGTCTCAAA